GCACTGAATGGCAGCGTGCCGGGTTGTGCATTGTTTCCAATATCTCGCGGCTAGATTTAATTCTCTTCACTCTGTGTGCTCTTCTTTCATACCCAATTGCCTCTCCAAACTTCCGTGATTTTAGCTAATGAACACAACGGAGTCGCTGGCTTTTTAACCGAGTTATCGGCAGCCGATGATCGCTATTTTTTAGGCTTATTAGCGTCTCGAAAAAGAAGAGAAAAAATCGCACATGAAACGAAACTTTGGCGCTTTTACTTCGTTGTTGCCGGTCAAGTTGACAAGAAAATTGTGTATACGCCTATTAGATAACCGCCGATTCCTGCATTACAATACCCCCCCCCCCCCCCCTCCCTTTTTTGTGCGTAAAAACAATGCAGTCAATGTACCTTTCTTTTTTACCACGCTGGTTCTCTCATTATTTCGCAGTTAAGCCCGGTTCGCACGGCCCCGTCTTCTTGCGTTGCGTTGAGTTACGAGAACTTGCGTCTGCTTAGAATGTCGGGAATCGCCGGGACATCCGTTCTTCCTCTGAAGCGTTGCAACCAATGCTTTGCACGCGATGGAAGCACAGATGCACCGGTGAGTCGTGACCTGACGTGAGAAAACGTAAGCAAATGGTCCTGTGTGAATGGGTCGACGCCGCCAAAGCACGGCGGAAGGCAAGGAGCGCGTGCTGGGGGCATGGCATCCCAAAAAACGGCTTGTCATTCTCAAATTTCGGGGACTGTTGAAGTGTCGCCTCTGATCATTGTGACTCGGTTTTACACATGCAACCGCATTTGTTTTCTTGGAATACTATGTCCCTCAGTATCAAACTTTTAACTTATCGAACACGCACACAGACTATATTACATTTACAGTCGGCGGCAAAAGTTTGCGGGGCACGGGAGCGCCATCTGAAATGACCGGCTGCACTGTCTGGGTCGCTAAACTTGTCAAACACAAAGTTGGGGCCGAAGTTTGCAGAGCGTGCTGATTGGACTCGCAACGATGGCGTCACGCGGGGCGAGATGTCAAGTCATCAAAACTCACTTGGTGCTCAAATTCAAGTGAGATTGAGGAACACAAAGTCTCAGTGAGCTTCAACAGAGCGCACGTAAGCAACACTGTGCGGCCAGCCGATTGAACGGCTGCACTGATGATGTTGACCCCACGTGTCCCTACATCCCTGTGCCGCACTAAAGTTAATGCTGTCTAGGTTGGCCCTAGTCGGGCTGTGAATATTCTGCAATTTCTCGTCGCACCAGGGCCGTAACCAGGGGGGGGGTTAGGGGGTTCTGACCCCCCCCCCCCCCCCCCCCCCGAAATTTTTTTCTGGGTACGGCCCTGGTCGGTGTACTTGCAGCCAGCCGATTTTAATCTCCACTTCTGCGCACGCGCAGTGGCACCGGTCGGCTACCGGGTACCATACCGGGACCGGTTCTTCGGTTTGCTATAACTCTCCATTATATGCCACCGATGCACATGATTCATAAGCAAAAATAAGACAAAATGGCCGCCGTTGTCCTCGAAACTCCCCCCCCCTCCCGAAATTTTTTTCTGGGTACGGCCCTGCGTCGCACAATGATTGTTTGTGGAAGTTATCGGTGGCGACAAAGCAATGTTTCGCAACTTCGGGAAGAAATTATTTGAGGCAAAAATCTTCGCTTCGGGATTGAGGCGAAGATTGAACTTCGTGATATTCTGGAGCTGCATGCATGTACGTGGTCTTTGAGCTCATTTTCTGCCACTGTCAACAATTTAAGTGGAGCCACCGAGAGGCGGTGGGGATAGTAACATTGGTGGTGTTTGAGAAGTGAGGGGAATTAGTAAGTAAAAAGCCGAGGGAAGGGAAATAAAAAGGGGGTAAGCCCAACTCACACAAAATTCGCAGTCAGGAAGTGCTATAGAAAATGTTTGGGCAGAAGGGGAGGGGGATGGCTAGTGAAGAAGGGGGGCATCCTTTTTCCCAATTTTTTTATTGTACCTTTCTGAAACGTCTAGGCAATATATAGAAGATCATGGTCTGAGGCTGAGCCAACCCCCCCCCCCCCCCCTCTTTGCCCCCTCTTTCCACTCCACTTTGGAGAGAGGGGGGGGTAAATTGCCCCCCTCCCTGTCCCCCTGTTTCTGTTTCAACGTACCTGCTTAGGAATGTTCCAACTGAGCGAAGCAGCGTGCAATCTTCGGAAAAATGGCTTTAGAGGTTCTGGAATTCATACAGTTCATATTCCATGAAATAAAAAGCGGCCATGCCAGGCCCAAGCATGAGGCTTGTGCCAGGGCTTGTAGTGTGCAGGCATGTGCAGTGAAGTTTTCTTACACTTCCTACCCTTGATGTCAGACTCGGGGTTATCAGCTCTGAACGACAAATTCAATGGTGCGTGTTTGAATTGGCGGTGTCAAGTTTGATGGTTTACTATATAGTTTGCAAATCCGGTCTCACGGCGATGCCATCTTCCTCTGTGAGGTGCGCACTTGGGCGTGGCCATAATCCGATTACGACGCCTTAGCAAGGCTTTGTAATCGGATTATGACTCGTCCAAGCGCACCCCACTCGAGCGAGATGCAGCGCCCTGAAGCCAGACTTGCAAACGTGTGTAGAGCTTGAAGTCATTGTGTTCTTAAAACATCACTGTTGATATTGACATCCTGACACTACCCTTATTTACACGTTGCAGAGTATGTCGGATAAACTCAAGTTCACACAGAAACAATAAAACACTGAAATAGACAAAAAAACAAAGTTCTTTTAAAAAAAACTGAGTGTCTGTCCTTCGCCGATTTCAGTGTGCAATTTTTTCTTCTGTGTGAACCATTGCTCTTGTTTACGTTGATGAAAGCACAACTTATCCCAGTTTGACTAATTTTGGAAAGGTGGCCACAGCGATGTTCTTGGTAGCTTACGTGGCCAGTAGTTAGTACTTAGAAAAATAAAACAAACGATTTTATCCCGTCGAGGGGGGTGGAACTGTCCAGATGTGAACTTCACCCGTGGGTGAGCAGTGCTACTTGGCTGGTTCTGACCTAGCCACCTCGTGCTACACTTCGATCAGATCCAAAAGGCTGAGGGAAAGGAAAGGAACGGCAGGGACGTTTTTCAGTAAATTCTGCTTTATTGGTGGAAAAATAGTATGACATCAGACTGTCAATGTTGACGGTGCTGATTTTAGAATGTAATTACCCCTAGCCTGCGCCGTGCCTCTTAGTGCCCATCAAACATGTTGGTCGCAACTGATAATCTTTGTCGTGACGTCACACGTATGAACCACGGTCGTCTCCTCGGACTCTCGTGCTGCTCTTGTTCGGTGCCTAGGGAGTGGTAGGGATTTTTCGCCCCTTCAAATGGGAAACGTCGCGCAGTTGAATGGATCTGCGGGATTGTGAGAAAAGACGACTTAGCGTCATTGTTTCAGCCACTCCCCCTGCTACGTCGTAACGCAAAGAATCTTTGTTTCACGAGTTTAGTGACCCTAATGGCGCGTCGCCGCGCTCGAGACTCGTCCTTTGCGCGTCGGCTTCTTTTCATGTTCGCATGTTTTTTTTGCTCGCTTGTGTTCAATGCGATCGAGATTACTGGAGACTGGCGCGAGGTGCCGCAAAGTGTTATCTGGAGCGTGCGAGCTCAGTCGCCCATCACAGTGGCTCAGGCAGACGTGCGACATGACGCGCGACATGACGCCTGACAAAGCATCACCTTGCGCCCATCTCGTGCGCGTCGGACAGAAGCAAGTAAAGAAGACACGACTACCAGCACAAAAGGAAGCAGGAGTCTTGAGAGCGGCTGCTCACGGTCAGCGGGCTCAGGGAGTCGTTTCAATTGATGGTTCAGTGTCCCGCAAACTTTTGCCGCAAACACTGCAAAGAACTGTTTGAATTCAACAAATTGTCTAACAACCCCAGGCAATAAATGACAGAAGATATGCGCGCTGAACAGCAGTGGATGTGAATTGTTATATTTCTTGGAAGGTCAAATTTTGAGCCCACAATTTGGATGGAATCAAGTCCAAGCATCATTATGATGTCTTTTGAGAAAGGATATCTTGACTACTAAGAAGTTTCCTTGTAACCGAGAAGCCGTATGCAACCACAAGATGTTTAGGCTTATATGGATCTTGATGATTCTCTGAGTATTTTGGTCTCCTGTGATTACTTTTCCCCGAAACTGCCTTCCATATTTCTGTGCCGGACAAGTGAACAGGAGAGTTTATGACTATGACTGCCCATCCTTATTCGGGTGTCATTTGTTCTTCAAAGAGCATGTGGGTATTCACTTGTCTGAGAGGCCTGTGATTTCTTATATAAAGATTGTGACCCCCCCCCCCCTCTCCATTTACACACACACACTTGTCCAAAGAAAAAAGGGGGGGATTTTTCCAGAGGAGTAGTTTTTTTTTTTTTTTTTTTTTTTCATCACATTAGATTAAATTTTACGTTTTGTTCTTTCGGAGATGGCTTCGAGTCCTGTAAGCAAGATTTCGATTTCATATTGAGAGGCCCCGATGTGGTGAAAATTAACCCTCAGTTCTCTGCCAGGGCACGCCAGCTACCCTTCGTAGGTTTGGCCCTTAAACTTCGAAAATTTGCTTTATTTGTGATCTTTTGCTGAACAGCTTTCCTTTCAAATGTTCAGCAAAATCTTCGAAACCTGTTGCCGAGTTATTTTTATCACCTTAATGGAAGTGTGTCGCACCAGTGAGTCAAAATTGGTGAGCGGTGAATTCACCAGCGTAGTCTCCTGGAGTAACGGGGCAGCAGGAGCATTGTTTATCAAACTCTATGGATGCCAACAACAAAGGCTACGCAATATGCGCTACGAGCATGGGGGTGTAGCGCAGATTGAGGCACGGTAGCGTGGGTGCCAGCCATCTTCCAGTCACGTACCCAGTGCACTAGGTGTGGCCTAGTGTGCTCGATGGGCGCACACTGGCACTGCTGTTAGTCACGTACCATTGCAACAACCAGAAATGTTGTTTTCACAATTGGCGTTTGACTGTTTCGTTTTTGTTCGTTTGCAGGCAGTTGTCGAGAAGGAGTCCGGCAATGCGGCGTACCGCAAGAAGGACTTTGCCGCCGCCATTTCGCACTATGACAAAGCCATTCAGCTGGATCCTTCCGACATGTCCTTCAGGACAAACAAAGCAGGTAACTCTGTTTCCAAGTCTTTGTCTACGTTTCTACTGCAGACCTCTTGGACACATCCCGGGGGGGGGGGGGGGGGGGGGGGGGCTCCGTACACTGCGAGACACCATTTGCAGAAACGTGACGTCGGCACTTTTCTCCACATTACTCTGACAATGTATCGATGTTCACCAAACTTCACTGCTAGAGCCCTGAATAAGGGCTTTCTGTTGCATTCTTAGCTTTTATGGCAGCCGTTCAGTTTTAAGAGAAATGCAGTACAAACTGGCAATCGCTTGTCTGTGCTACCAGTGCCACGCTGCATATACTTGGGGTGCATTTCATCTCGGTATACTGCCTCCTTGGAAACTCCACAGGTTCAGGTGACGGTTCTGGCGGTCGGTACAGGTAAAGTGGTAAAGGTGTGCAGTCCCTTGCAAATTTGTCCTGTTGCTAGAGTGTGCTCCTGTTTCCTTCAGGAAACTTCTTGGCACAAGTAATTCCTATTGAGCATAACGTGGATTATCGTTCGAGTGCAGCACTCTGTTCTTGTTTCATCACACCGTACCACCACCCAGACATGAATTGACATGAATAGAGCGATCAAGGTTTTTCAAGTTAGCTGCTTGTCGTCCAATTGCCTCAGTAATTTTTGAGACCAATGTGGAGATTGCCATTCGCTCACTCCAGTATCGTTCCTCGTGAACCATATGTGAACGCAGCCCGGATTACAACCATTATCATGACAAAAGTAAGAGTGATATCTTAGGCCATTGGCACTGGCTCTAGTTCTGACGAGTGGTGTACGGCGGTGTGTCTCTTTCCAGCGGTGTACTTTGAGCAGAAAGACTACCAGAAGTGCATCGAGGAGTGCCAGCAGGCAATTGAGGTCGGGCGTGAGAACCGTGCAGACTTTAAGCTCATCGCCAAGTGAGTGCAGAAGTGTTCCAAAAAGACGGGATTTGTCGTCGTGTAGCAAACTGTGCCGACTTGACACAATAGCGATGACAATTGGACATTTCGTCTTCCACACAAGAGATGTCATTAGCACGTTCCAAAGGGGGCACGAACGAATACGCAGGCTGTTTGAGCGAGTCAGCGTACACGTCGGGCTGGGGGTCACGGTTGTGTCTGGTTGATGCAGTTTGCTTCATGAAGCCAACTCATATGCGGTAAAGAAAGTTTGTGAGATCTTTAAATATTTCATGCGACTAAAAGGCACTGACATTGCAGTTTGCTAGCGGGCAGTCGCAAGAAAGTTTTTGAATCTTAAAGCTTTATTTAAAAGCTCGCAAAAATTAGACACGCAAAGTCTGCCTCCATGGAAATTATGGGATGTCTCACGACACATCAGTTTGGCACTTCTCTATAAAAAAATACTGCATTGGTTCCACGCATGTAGTGTGGACAAGCCTTTTTATGTGTCTAGGTGGAAGTTAGCTAAAACATCCTGTATATTACCCATAAGGCGAGCCGACTTGTATTATTGTGGGCTTATCTGCTACAGAGGGAGGAAGGGGTGAACTGAAATAATTTGTTGCTTCAATAAAAGACAGTAGCAGCAAATTGAATTATGGAAGTTTTACAGCCAAATGCCTAAACAATGGTTATATGAATAACTTCAGACAGTTTTGTGCTTAGCTCTGCGTACGGTTATGCTTACGTCAGTTGAATGTTCAAGAACCATGGAGAGCAGAGCTAAACCAAGTTTTTGTTTATAACCCCCGTCTAACGTTGAGTGCTTCTCCTCAGGGCATATGCACGAATGGCAGGAGCTTACGTGAAGCTGGGGGACTACCCCAATGCACGGACGTTCTACCAGAAGTCTCTGACTGAGCACCGAATACCCGACACGCTGGCCAAGCTCAGCGAGGTATGCTCAAACTCCGATGCCTAGTCAAATAGGCGGGGAATTGAAAATGCTTTGCTGTCGCGGAACTTTAATGAAACCAGCACTCGCTCTAGCTTCTCTATATTGCACGTATTACTTGCTCACATAGTTTCCGGGCTTCTGTAACACTCTGCTGCCCTCTCCACTCCATCTAGAACACCTCCTTGTGAGACAGGTTCTTTCTCAAAGCATACCTGATAACCACTAACTAAACCTCGGCACTGCAGAACCCCGCTATAGTAAAGTCTGCCGTGGCAAACGTGTGAATATGTTGAAGCAGAGTTGAGGTATGCTTGTACTATTGGTACAGATGGGGGTGAACATTCCCATTAAGAGTTTCTGCCACAGTGACATCTTAGCTATGCTACTGTAGGCTTTAAATACAGAGATATAGTAAGTTACAGCTCAAGAAGGCAGTGCGAGGGAAAGGAAGGAATGCTGGAGAGAGGGGCTTTTCCCCTCTTTTGTCCAGCGTTCCATCTGGTTCTCCCTCCTCGGCCTTCCTCTCCCTCGCCCTACCTTCTTGGGTTGTAACGGACTATAGCAAGCCTCAACATTGTTCTGCGCTGTTCTGTGCTGCCACCTGGGCCTTAGGTGGAGAGGGTGATCAAGGAGGAAGAGAGGAAAGCCTACATCAACCCAGAGATTTCGCTAGAAGAGAAGAACCTGGGAAATGCCTGCTTCCAGAAAGGTGAGTTTCATCGACGTTTGGAGCTATTGTCGCCTTGGTACGCCGTCAGTTCATAGCATAACTTGCGGGGAAAGTGCCTCGTGGTATTGCTCATTTTGCGTCGTTGATGTTTGCCACTGTTGTTGGTACCATTCATGTTGTCTGCACTTCGCACTGATTGGTGAGATCTTTTGCGTATGTTTTTCTTCTAATGTGCAATATGCTTAAAAGGCAACTCTGCTCGATTCCCAATATTTCGGGATAATGAGTGATTTCACATCAAAAAAGCACAAGTAAAAGATGTGTCATTTGCAAATAATGGGATATCTATATCTTTTGATATAATTTTAAACACTAGCAGAAATTGAAACCAGAACTTTGGCTCCGTCCAGCCACATTGGCCTCGGGCCGCCAAGAACGTGGCTATTGATAGTGTGAGATGTCATGTGATCCTTTATGCAACGACGGGAAGGATGGGAGAGGGCGCGTGCCAGGCGCAAGTGCTGTCTGCACCTCACACTACGTTTTCGTGTCTTTGACATTCGACGAAGTGCGGCAAAATTCTGTACCTAGTGGCCGTAGTGTGGACGACACTCCCAGAGAGAATAATCACAAACGTCCGGACGACGAAGCGCACCAGTCGCGTGGACACCGCTGAGCGCTGAGAGGAAACATTGCTGACGTCACCCTTACGCTTGCTCGGAGAGGTAAAAACAAGCAAAAAGGGGTGATGGGATGACGTTTAGCTCTATGTTGGCTACGCCCATGCCATCATTTAAAGGGAACTACGTCGTAATATTTGACGTGTGGCCTTCCTAGGTGATACTAGGTGAATGTGAAGCAAAGTTGCCCTTTAATGGAAGTCAAGTCGGGATTTGTGCTGTACCGTGCCGACGCTAGCAGACACGAAAATTACGTCTTCTAGATCTAGCCAGCTAATGTCCCGCTAAATTTGGCGGAATGCCACTATTGGTTACGTGGCTGGGTTCATGGCAAGAGACGTGATCATGCGATGTTCGTCGAGCCACGCCAGGTCACAGGACATCACGCTGTCCCGTCATTCTATCACGTGATGTCACGACGTCAACACTGTGACTAAACCTAGGAACGTTGGGTGTCAAATCGTTGCTCTGCATCATGCCGCGTGACACTGCAACTTGGCACTTTGACGTTACGCTGCCCAGGTTGAAGTATATCATCGATAAGTGTGGTGCGTTCGGTACTTTTGGGCGGTGGATCAACGGAGCACCAAGTTATTGTGTGGTTACGTCGGCGTCCCTTCCTTCTGTAGGTGAGCGAGGAGAATACGCAGCTCGCTTGAACGCTTGTGTGGTGCAGGTGATTACCCGTCTGCGGTGAAGCACTACACGGAGGCGGTGAAGCGCAACCCGGAGGACGCCCGTCTGTACAGCAACCGGGCGGCCTGCTACCAGAAGCTGGCCGAGTTCAACCTGGCCCTCAAGGACTGCGAGGAGTGCATACGCCTCGACCCCAACTTCCGTATGTGCCACTCTGCTCTTACAGGACGATTGTCACCACGGGACAAAAGCAATTGGATCTGCCTTGCGGGCAAAGACTTGGTCAAAGGTCATTGTACAAATGTCGGGAAACAAAAGTGTTAGGGTCGTTTGAAAAAAAAAAAAAATTCTGCGAAGGAAATGGGAGAAGAGTCGTTGGACGAATGTTGCGAATCAGAGGCGGGATCGGTGGCCAGGCGTGTTAATCTATTTCGGCTCGGAACCCGTGGAGCAAAAGCTCACCCTGCAGAACCCGCATACCCTGGGAGGTCATGTGAACATTTTCTTGTACTTAACATTTTTACCACTTATATAAGAACTTGGATTTTATGGGTAATCGTCACCGAATGTGTTGTTCGGCAATCTTGTTAGAAGATTATTTGACAGGTATTCTTGGGCAAACATTGGAACAGTGCTCTTGGAAATTTGTAGTGTAGTCATTGAATGCCTACATCAAGCACTTTCTATGTTCATTTGAGAATGACTTTTAACATGGTTAGAAAAAACGTTTTGGACAGATTGAGTTTGACGATGGTTGCTATGGAATCAGGATGTCCTAGCAATTAAACTGAAAGATGCCTCGAAATTTTTTCTCCCTATCTTTTTGAACTGTTAGTGCAGTTTTCTGAAAAGTTTTATTTTGTTGAACTTTGGCTTATACAGGTTCACGACCTGAACTTTGTTTCCAGACTGTTTTCTTGTCGCAGCTATACCGAATTAGGTGTCAATGTGTAATGCTTGGCATATGTTTCCGTTAGTACCATCCAAACTCCCATTATAGTATGATTGCAGTGTTCCTTCAAATGAGCTTGTGGGGGGCCAAGAGGAAGACTTTACTCAAGTTTCAATCATACTTGCCATGGATCAACAACTTCAAGAGATCATGATATGATGTTCATACTTTATGAGCATGACCTGGTATTGGGTCATGCTCATAAAGGGGTTCAAGCAATTATCTTGATTCTAGATGCTTTATTTCCACAAAGCAATTTCAAGAAATGTATTTAACCTTAGTTTAAGGAAGTTCCTATACCCATCCCATTTCCACTGAAGAAAACCTTGCTTTTCTTTTTTTTTGTCTTGGTGATAGGCACTTGAAATCAGTGGGATTTCATATATTTGTTTCATTACTGGCTCGAAGGAAGTATAGAGGGGTTGGAATTATAACGTACAAGTTAATAAAACACTGAAATCATGAATGAAGTTCTTGTAGTATGGATACAGCATTTCAAAATATTTATAAATTCGTAAGATGAACAAGGTCAACAAATTATATGGTTCCTTTCCTTGTTTCTGCGCAGTGAAAGGCTATGTGCGGAAGGGAATGGCCTTGATGGCCCTCAGGGAGCACAGCAGGGCACAAACTGCATTCCAGAAGGCACTCGATATCGACCCCAACAACCAGGTATGTGCGTCTTCCTTCGTGTTTCGAGGCTGGCTCACGCATCTGCGTTTGAGCGTGCTCGAGTTGGTTGTATTGCCCTGAATCCGCTTACGACGAGCAAACAAATTGGCGCCTTGGAATCCTTTCGACCCGCATATGCAGGCTGCGCGAGGTATTTGAGGACATAGGGGTGGTTTCAGCAAAAAAGAAAAGTTGTTTCAAAGAAATATTTGCACAGAATTCGGTACAAATACTCTTCTCTAGTCGTGTTCCTGAACTTCATCCGATAAAACGACCTTCACCAGCGATGACCGACTTGATGTGGCTTCGAAAGCGGCTATGCATCCCGATCAGGTCGTCCTTGTTGATATTGGCCGTAGCGTCCACAAGGGCAGCCTTTTTGGGCTGCTGCTTTGTCTTTTTCTCTCCCTTGACGACGCCCCAGATGGAGTAGTTCATGGAGTTTACATCTGGAGAGTTGGGAGGCCGGATTTTGGGGTGATGTGGTCGCGAAGTTTGTGAGCTAGCCAATCTTGGTTCGCTTGGTCCGTGTGGCATGGAGCAGAGTCCTGTTGAAAAATGTGGGGCCTCCCCTGGGCCACCATTTCTATCCAAGGTTTTACCAAAGTGCAAAGGGCCTCAGTGTAGGCCTTAGAGTCGACCCCAAGGCACCGTCGAAAGAAGTGCGGCGGTACGACGTGGTTTTCGTTGCTTACGACAACTAGGTTTGTCACAGTTGACGGAAACTTTGCCCGCACGACCGTAGGAATCTCCGCCACCCGTCGTTCCTCCCGACTAACTTTTGGTCTACGTCAAAGTTTTCCTCGCGGAAACAAAATGAAGTGCGTCTGGTTCCTCGGGGTATTTCAGCTCGTTCGACAGATGCTCTGATCGGACGATTTGGTTTCCCCAGTTTTTTGGGACATGAATGGCCCTCTCCTTACCGCGTACGACCGGTATCTAAGATCGTCGATGCACTGCAAGCTCGATAGTAGGCTCTGCCAGCTCGGGCCGCCTAGCAATGGCCCCCGTTGACTCGCCGGGGTCGACGTTCACGATGTCCCGCATCTGCTGGACAAGCTTGGCCGTCCCGGCAACGTCCGACTTGTACGACTCTTTTTCGTTCGATGTAGCCAGGATGGCACACCTTTTCATTTCTCGCGTCTGACCGGAAGCTGCCATTTTGAAATCGATAAAGTAGACATACCACAGAATCAAGGACAGACATAGTAGGAGTATGAGAGGTTGTGCACTTTGAAGCCGCACCCTGCGTATTAATATTTATTACGCATCATTCTTGCGACGTTGCGAGCGACTATTTCTCGCAGAGAGTGAATGGATTTTATCTCGTAAGCGCCGCAAGACCTTCGGTTTATAGCCTGTTGCAGGTTAAGAGTGCAGGAAGTGCGAAGATGAGTTCCTCTCCTTTGGCCCTTCTCTGGCATGTGCTCTGCTAGAGCGGTGGGCTTTGTGGTGGGGCTTGATCCTGCACTCTCGATCTGCAACAGACTACAGTTATATGCGGGTTGCAAGTGTTCCAGAGCTGCCCCGACAGATGGCTCTGCCGTGCTCCACCGTCGCTAGAGGTTTGGAATGCATGTAATGGTGCTCGAGCGCACTCGCTCGAAAAGGGGGGAACCAGCATTAGTGACAATGGTAATTGAGACTTTTAAAGTGATTGGCTTCCTCGGGATCTTCGGGTTAATGGGAGGCATGTTTCTGGCTGTACAGTTTCCCCGCTAAATTTAGTGGGGAAAGTGACGTTGCTTGGTTTGATATCACGTGAAATATTGGGGAGATCAAACCGTGGCGCCCCAAGCGGCTAACTTGAGGATGGGAACTACAAAATAACAATGACTCGGCGTTTGGCTGGAGTACTTTAGGATGGGAACTACAAAATAACAATGACTCGGCGTTTGGCTGGAGTTGGCGTTCTCCAGTCACCTGATGGGGAGGGGGACCTCTTTTGGTTGCCACCCCGTCCAGCAGGAACAGTGCAGCAACGCATGCAGCACGGTGCCTGTGTCCTGCTCAGTACAAAAGCCGAGATGGGTCGGGCTCTCATTCTCCGACGACTGCTTTCGGGAGATCAGGCCCTAAGAATAAATGCCACTTTGTTTACTGTTCGCAGTTTTACGTTAAGACGTGAACATGTCCACAGGCCTTGTGGTGGGTAAACATTGTGGTGCGGGGACAACAAACGGGTCAGACCGCCCCTTATACTTCAATCTCCTCGCCAAAAGGCAAATTCAGTTTTCCCACTAAGTTTAGCGGGAAAATGATGTCGCATGATTTGATGTCCTGTCACCTGTACACAAGTTTGGTTTCCCCCCTAAATTTAGCAGAAAAAATGACGTTGCATGATGTCACATGCAAATTTATTTTCCCCGCATGATTTAGCGGGAAAGTCGACGTCGCATGATTTCAACGTCGATTCAGTTTCCCCGCTAGATTCAATGGGAAAAATGACATTGCGTGACCTATCCACAAATTCAGTTTCCCCACCAGATGTAGCGGAAAAGTTGACATCACATACTTTCAATACCAATTCAGTTTCCCCGCTAAATTCAGAGGGAATACGAGGTCACATGACTTGGTGTTCCGGCAACTACGCAGAAATTCAGTTGACCCACTAGATTTAGCGGGAACTTTGACACGTAACCAGCTGCAGCTCTTTCAATTGCCTACTGCTGATCGCCTAATTGGACAACAACGTAGTTGGTTCTGCCCGAATCTTTTAGATTCTCATGTTTGAATGTATTTAATTTTTGTGGGTGTTTATTGCGGTGGGCAGGACGCGCTGGACGGCTACAAGCGGTGCCTGATGGCTTCCACGGCTGATCCGGAGGAAGTGCGGAAGCGCGCAATGGCTGACCCCGAGGTCCAGAAGATCCTCGGAGATCCGGCCATGAGGATCATCTTGGAGCAGATGCAAAGCGATCCCAAGGCACTCCAAGAGTAGGGACCCCCTCGCCACTTTTTTTTTGAGGCCTGGTTCTTGGGATTTTTGTTTTACATGTGCTCATATTCACCTCGAGAACCGTAGTAAAAGTTGGGCTCTTCGAAAGGATGTTAGTGATTTCCCCTTTTGGCGTGTTGAAGTAAGATCTATGTCGGTGCATCTGAGATTAACTTTATGTTATTTCATCAAGGCATACACATTTCAAATGCTAAAAGCATTGTTTCTTCTTTTGGCAACCAGATCTTGTAAAAACTACTTTGCGCAGCGCGTAAATTATATGCAGAACTTTTCTTTACTTGATGCAACGAGTGTAGTAGTGGTAGCAAAACGGTTCTGCTCAGGTAATTAAGTAAACATTACCCCTAAAAATTAATTTGATGTGAAATTAATATGGAAAAAGTAATCCGTTAATTAGCCAGTTTAGAACATTGCAAGATATACCTTGATTTAGTCAATATGATCGTGAACAAAACTGCTTTGACTAGACGTGCGTCACATGCCCCAGCTTCATTAATTCTTGGCATGGCTTAGCTGAAACGTCTGTGTAGTAGGTCTGGAGAGTGGTACAGCCTATTTAATTTATTTATTTATCTTTTTGCGCAGGCACCTTAAGAACCCTGACATCGCTGCCAAGATACAGAAGCTGCTGGAGTCCGGGCTCATAGCCATCCGTTGATGGGGCCCAGACTTAACTGCAAAGGAGCCCTTGTTCGTTGGAAGCGTCGCGACAGAGCTCGGAACCGAAAATCATTACTAGGACACATCGCTGCCACTCGTGTCCCAACCTGTCCCTTGTACCCTTTTTTTTTTTTCTTTTGAAGAGCTTGTGTTCTTTGTGATTCCTCTTCACAACATGCATTAAAGTATTTTTGCTGTCTAGCCACTCATGGACGTATTATTGTGGAGTGCCCGGGCATGGCTGTTGAAATTTGGGCAAGTTGGTGGTGCATCAAGAAACGAAAAACAATGTGAAGACGGAAGAGCAGTAGCGCACGAATGGAGCGCTGTTTGTGTACTTCTCATCCTTCGTCCGTCTTCAGGCTGTTTTAGTTTGTTTCTGGCAGTACCTGCTGTTTATCGAAACTTCTCGACCTGACTGAATATGTTGGGCGTTTAAGGACTGCAACTGAGGCCATGTGGTAGGGTGGGGGATTTCTGGGATATCGGTGAGCGAATGTTTCGTCGCGACTTCACGCAGGGGCTGGTGTCTTGTCCTGTTGACAAACTCTTGATGCTCATAACTGCTGATCTATTAGTAGTCTCTTATACTGGTGCCATCATAATTATTGGAGAGAAAGTTATTGCCAGTGTTGGGAAGGTAACGCTTTATATTTTTTGCCAGAGCGCTCTAGTATAACTGATATGCACTAGAGATAGCAAAAATAAAATTTTACATCAGTTTGACCTGCAGTGCTTTGCTGTACTACGTGCTGAAAGCCTTGCGGCACTCCAATGCGCATGACGCACGCACGACTGCGATGACAACGAAGCCTTTCACTACAATGGAATTGGTAGCCGAGTGTCATCTGAAAGAATACAGATTACATAAAACACAACAAAAACATGAGAACTAAGCTGATACGTGTTTGATCGCCCAGAAATGGGTTTCCAGACATGTAAGCATTCACTCTTTTAGGCGTTATGCTTTTCGGAGTTTTGAGATTGGCGCATTTCGATATTCGGCCTTTTCACAATTTGGCGTTTTTATTTTCGGCATTTTGATAGGACTCCGTAAATATTCGCTTCTGAAAAGGAAAAAAAGAAAAGTCGGTTTTGACACTTCGGGACGTCCATGTAGGATTTGGTCGGTGATTTTATTTAATTTCTAAGTTTTTCCCCAACCAGGTTGACATCTGGCAATATCTTTGCATTCAATGAAAACTTGTGCTGTGATGTCCATGCTTCAAGTTTTAGAGTGCAAATACTTTTCTATCCTCCGTTGACTCCTCATGAGCCGCCTGAGCAGACAGTTGGAGCCACGCCGTCATGCAATCAGCCAGGGAAGTTTGCTTCAATGTCACGCTTTTATATTTTTACTTACGAGAGGTTGCAGATTGCTCTCTTGCCATGATGTTTGTTTCCACTGGACGGGAGGAACGGGCATTGCACGGCTTGAATCTTGATACAGCTTGCACACGGTGCACATGCCACCTCGGTTGCTTTTGTTTCTATCGCTTCCATTTCTAGATCAGGTCGTTAATTTTAAGAAAAGATCGCTGGAAGCCATTGGAACCTGTAACTACATCCTGCGATAGCAGCAGACGACAGAGATTGGAACGCTGTTTGTTTAATTTATTAACCCTGACGACTGCAAATGCTGTCTTCGAAACCTCTCTTTACGAGACACGTCACGCAAGCTACAAAAAGTTATTCATTCCTTCAACTGATTTGTATGTATTGCCTGGTGTCAAGAAATGACCGCCGGTGGTGCACCGTCGGACTCCCGACCTGCGATCCAGCTGACAATAGAAGTCGGTGAATGGAACCGACATGTTACCCCGTGGCACGGGTCTTCTTCGGCATCGGAGTCTAGCGTTACTTGCGCATTGATAACTTTGTCTGAGTGCTGCGCGTTTCCTTTTTATTAAACCATCGCTGCCCAAACTTTGGTGCGGTGCACGAAGTTGACTACTCTCAAGTGCTCGCGCTCCCCAGGCTTGGCTCTCCCGTAGTTTAGGCTTAGACATTTTTTCTAGCAAGCCCGCCCATGAAACCTTCCTAAACATTTGTGGACCAACGCAGAAAGGTTATAAGGGCTCAAAACTATTTAACATTTTATTAGTACTCTATCTTAAATCTCCGAGTGCGACGGCGCGCTCAGAGGTTGTGCCAGCTCCAGACGATGAGGTCGTCGTCCCTGCGACCTTTGTCCAGCGGGTCGAGTTCGGGCGGCGTCGCGTGTGCAGGAGGCAGCGCCACCGCGCTTAGCCCGAGCAAGGTGGCCTGCAGGTGTGCACAGGTCGTCCAGCGGCCCTTCTGGAGCACTTGCACGTCGGCCAGCACGTTGCCGTTGCTGATGCCCCCGAACACGTACAGGTTGGCCCCTGCGACAAGTGGAAGACGCGCCAGTGATTACGTGAATACTAGAGAGTTTTAGAATTGGGCATCCCGACGGCTTGGGTCACCCGAGCAGCAGGGGCTCTGCACTGCGCAGGCGCAGTGCGAAATTACTCAAAAATTTCGGGGGAATTTTATAGAATCCGCGGGAGAATCTTCCAAGTCAATAGCGGAGTTTACGGAACTCTCGATGAATTTTGAGGCTCCCGAGGGAATCCATAGTAGTATTTTGAAGAATCCCGGAGTCAACTGTGGGACTTCTCGAATCTACAGGAAACTTTTGAGGAATTTCTATAGGGAAATTTCGAGGAATCCTTTAGCTCGTGAGGGAATCTTGGGGAGGGGGGGGGGGGGGGGGGATTTTGAAAAGAAGCCTGGGAAGTCTCCGGGAGAAAAATTTTTTTCGAACTTTTGGGGAACCTTTTAAGAATTTTACTGTAATGTTCCTTTGATGTCCCGAGCAGGGAGGAGAGGCCTCTGACCGAAAGCCACGGCCGCGGAGCTGTGGCATGGTCGAGGCAGGAAGGGCATGGGCTCCCAGGTCCGTTGGTCCGCCGACAGTGCGTGCACGTCCGGGACGCTGCCGAGCTGTAGCTGGTCCAGGGACACGGAGCCCCCGACGGCCAGCAGCGACGAGCCGTCGCTCACCAGGCTCAGGTAGCCGCAGGACGTCGGCAGCGTGGGCGCCATGAACGTCCAGCTGTCCGGGTGGCAAAAATGACTTTTTTTAGAAGTATTAATTTGAGAGTAAATGTTTTTGGTACCCCTCTCTCTATCTTCCTTCTGACCGAGCTTAGAGGGAAGATGGCTTTTTAACAACTTTGGGACAGAAGCCAAATTCGGGGGAGCCGCATCTAGGCAATAGCGTCCCAAAAGGTCGACAGGATGTACCTGACGTCTTGTGCGTAGAACGGGTGGTAGAGTCTTTACGAGCTACTAGATCTCGAACCCAGTCGCGCACCCAGGTGACAGCGCCTTTAAAAAAAAGTGCATTGCAAAAGAACCAAGTCTTAGGTTGTCACCATCCCCGGCACGAGGTGTCACGTGAAAATGCCCAGTCTCTCATTGGCTGCTGCCGCTTCAAACGTCTCCCAGTTGTCAGAGTTGTTCGTCCATTTCGAGCCGGACGCGATCCGAGCAATTCGCGTCGCATTAGGAAGGGAACAACTCTTCAGAAACACCAAAATTGCTGGGAAAGTTGCCTCGTCTGAAGCAGGCCTAAGAGTTCACCTCTTACAACCTTAGCGAACGTTGCCTCCTCTCCAACGTTCGCTCTGCTCAAGTGGAAAAAGGCTGGAGAAAGTTTCTCCTGGACTCTTGGCCTGTCACCGACTGACGTTGCACAGATCACAGGATCTACTACGTTATTCTGAGTACGTACCGCGCACCACGGACCAACGTTGGGACGGACGTGGGGCCGCCACTTCGGAACTGACGTTCGCGGCCAATGGATCTTCAAGCGCAAAACAGCGAGATGAACATAGTATATTCGCGCGACAAACGCTGCACGCAACGCCGCCGTCGTCAACGTCTGATTCGCACGCTGGAGAAGCGGAGGTGCATGTGGAGAAAATATGGGCAGGGAGCGATAGCCACGTGACTTCCGGCAACTATCTCCTCCTCCGCATCTCCCGATCCTCCTCGGTACGCTAGCCGGCCATGAATTTTCGTGTTCATGTTTCGATTTCATTTTCGGAGCAGTTGAGTTTCTTTTTTTCTTTATTAAAAACAAAACAAACAAACAGACGTGACTCTTATGCAAAATATTGATTGGGTAGTGTCGAGACATCATATTAAATCGCCTGGCAAAAAATGAAAATGTTTTGGAGCTGTCAGTGTCCATTTAACGAGCTGCGGATAGGAGCGGATGCAGGTGTTTTCAAAAGAGGGGGGGGGGGGGGGGGGGGGGGTTCAGCGTACCATTTGAGAAAACCGCACTACATTTTTTACACGTGCAGAATTCGAGGGGGGCGGCGGGGGGGGGGGGGGGGGGGGGGGTTTAAGACATTCTCTCCCTCCCCCCCCCCCCCCCCCCCTCCCTCTAAATCCACCACTGACTGTGAATGTCTCGCGTATACCAGCTTGCGGATTTCTTTCACCATATAACTGTGCACCGATCGTTTACACATTCACAGACTCCAGTGTCTATCATTGTGTCTAAAGCAAGACATTCAACAGTCTTTTTGGGGACTGAAGAACTTATTGTTTGTGAATTTCCCGATCTCATTGCGCGAAGTCGTGTTGTCACGTGATATTACGACGTCACTTCATGTGGTCACATGGCATCAATTTTTCCGCAAAAATTGAGCAGTTTTAAGTCGTGGTGTCACGTGATCTGACGTGACGCGAAGTAGTCACGTGACATCACGGTGTCAAATCGTGGTGTCACGGGACGTAGTCACGTGACCTGACATTATGGTGTCAAGTCGTGGTGCAACGCGATCTGATGTCACGCGACGTATCACATGACATCATGCACATCACGGCGTCAAGTCGCGGTGCCGCGTGATGCCGTGACATCACGTGACGTCTATTTCCCCCCTAAATTAGGCGGGGAAATCCACAGACGGGTGCACGGACACATTTCTGGGATCAAAGTGTTCCGTTTTTAATGCTGTAAAAATGTCCTGCCAATCTACTTTCTTGCACAGCGTCCCAATTACAGCGATCTACTGGACACGTCCAACAATTGCCCGATGCCCGAAAACAGCTTGGGATTCTCTATACACGCGCTTCTCATTCGCAGTTAGTGATTACTTTATCGCGTAATCCGCAAAAAAAAAAAAAAAAAAAAAAAAAACAATCGCGCAAAAAAGATTTTTTTTTTTTTTTTTTGCAGCGCAGATTATATATATATGTTTTTTTTTTTTTTTTTGTTCTCCGCGCTGCGCTATGAAGACGTCTTCGTGCATTCAGTTCCAGCTCAACTCACGCTTTGGTCTCCGGGTTGTAGCATTGGACAGCGGACGAGCAGTCCAAATTGTTGGATCCGCTGTCCACCACGCCGCCGGCTATCCAAACCAGAGAGCGAAACAGCGCTGCGCCCATGGCCATCGTGGCCTGGGGCAGGCTGCTCTTCATCTTGGTCCACTTGTTCCTCTTTATGTCGTAGTACTCCATGCTGGACAGGAGCCTGGACAAGTGGTACGCATTTTCAAAAGTTCGTCAAGCAACATTGGCGGTTGCGATTTCTTGGACAAGATGATTGTGATTGGTTCCAAGTCCTTGCCGGACGCTGACGTGGCCCTGGTCTCCAATACTAGCTGAGCCGAGTTTACTCCGAACTCTGACTAAACCCTCGGGTTTAATGCATGCTGCGAGTGTCCGTGCCCAAACAATGGCAAACTCGAATAATTGGCGCCACAGCTTCTAGACGGCGCCATCTTGAAAAAGGGTCTATTGCTAAACTAAGTAACGTATCCTTGTTGGCGTTCCACACGACGTAATGCGGTACGAGTCTGCAAGTTGGGGTATAAAAGCGGTTGCTTTGTCATTACCGATTACAACACACACTTTATGGAAAAAAAAGAATTGGGTCACGGGCAACAAAAGTGGTCCGCAAGTTCTCCCTGGGCACTGCATGAGAACGTGGCCTCGTGCAGTGCTCAGGGGACCATGCTCGCGCTTGTGAGTTCGGCTTTGCTCGCTCTTTTACGGTGAAATATGACATAATTGTTTATATGTGAAGTTTTCACGTTTTTCGGATGACCACATCCGAAAAACGTGTACATGACGTGATCCCATCGACCAATAGTAATTCCTACTTTGTGCAAAGAAAAATAAAATCGGTCACAAAGGGGGACCAGCAGCGCAGCCTGTCGTAAGTAAGGACCCTGAATCCTGGAAAAGTAGCGCCAAGCTCCCCGTATGGTCACCGTTGTGGTACATGGAATGGACAGGTTTCTATTTTTCTTCTTCATTCTTGGTGAGCCGATACAAAATCACGGTGACAAGTTGGTTCATAAAGGCCTTTCTTGTATACCGAGGATTTGTTATTCACACACCGGCGAAACAAGCGCACATGGCGCACCATCACGTGCTGCATCAGTGCATGACTGCATTAAGAAAATATTATTTCCACCTTAAAATACGGAAAAGAAAAACAACATAATTGCGAGAGATCCATGGAAATAAGCATGACTGACAAGTTGATTGCATACACAGTGCTAAAGACGCTATAATTGGCGAAGAACGCTTTCAGTACGATGAAGCTCCATAAAGACCATAGTGCCACTGTTTTAAAACGACCCTTTCAAATCTTCAAAGATTTGAAGGAACCTGACGATTGCCATGGCAACCCAGACCGATCAGCGAATCACTTTGCTAGGTTTGGTCGTCTGCATGTTGGTATCTGCTTGTGTCCGGCTAGCAGGGAGAGAAGGCAATGGCTCTACTTTTCCAGGACCCAGGGACCTTAGCTATAATCAGTCTCAGCTAAGACTGCGTAAAAGAAAGCACTGCTGAAGCTTGCCATCGACAGTCACATTGGCGAGGAACGCTTTCAGTACACTGCCGCTCCACAAAGATCGTGCCGCGGCTGGTTCAGAATGGCCCTTTCCAAGCTTGAAAGATTAAAAAGGACCAAAATAGCGATTACCATGGCAACAGAAAGCGATTAGCCAATCGCCTTGAGAGGGTTCGGCCGTCAGTATGTTAGTAACTGTTTGTGCCCGGATATCAGGCAGTCTGCTATGAGGCATATGGTACTGCATTCCCAGGATCAAGTGACTTTCGTAAACAATCTCGAGAGGCCTAAAAGCCTTCCGTGGCGCACACTCGGCCGTAGTAAAACGCAAGTCCGTGAACCAGCCTTTGGGCGCATCGCTCTCCGGCAGGATATAGTCTAAAAAAACTCGGAATTCCCATGGATGTCCCTTCAGGTGGGACACAACGGTTAACTGGCACGCACTTCCGGCCCAAGGTGAGTCCGCCGAAGACCAGGATCCGTCCCGGGAGCAGTACGAGCCCGTGGTGGGCTCGCTCTGTCTTCAGGTCCGCCACGCGAGTCCACTGCAGCGTGGGCACACTGAGCTTGTAGCACCGCTTGCTGCACACATAGAGGCCTTCGGTCGATTCCAGCATGCCGCCTGCGAACGGGCGCGGTCCAATTAATTTATCTATACAAAAACTGAGCTCTATGACGTCACGTCATTGCGGTGGCGCTGCCGTCGGCACCGCGCATGCGCAGACACATGGTGTATTGGGTGGTTGGAATGGATCCTAGTGCTCTAAAACGAACCGGAAAAATCGGCGCCTGCACATGGAAAGTTGAAACTTCCACCCAATGTGCATTTAGGAGGTCCATTTTAGCTTGGGAAATTTAAAGCCTTAACTCTCTTGCTGCGGAAAATTGTACCAACAAACTAGGTAGGGTCAACGGCGGACGTATTCGACGACGGCCGGAGTCAGCTGTGGTTGTCATTTGCGGCGCCATCTTCCGATATGGGACAGCGAGCAGATCACTAAGTTCGTCAAAAATTTCAAGGATTTTGGTGTAATCTTTCGCAGAAACGCAGCTACACCTTCAAATTCTCCGAGATAATAAAATATACCTTCGATGAAAAGTAGAGCTCTCTAAATGTACACAGGCGCCGCTTTTCCCGAATGTTTTTACGTCCGGCCCCTCTATTGACGTCATGCAGTTGCGGTGGCGCCGCTGTCGGCACGACGTATGCGAAAACTCTTCACAGGAATCTTGTTTCTGCCCGCGCAATGTCCACACCTGGCGCATGTGGTTAAACGCGGAATTGTTTGTAAATGGCCACCATATCGGTCGCCACTGCTAGTTGCAGAGGTCAAGCTGCTAAAGCAAACATCTGTAGAGAGCAGTACTAGGGAAGTTCCGCGGCTAGGGAAAAGCGGGAATAAAGGAGAACTCTGGGAATGAGAACGGTCACGTGGAAGTTGACCCAATGCGGACCGCAAGTTCGTCTGCTTCTTGCACATGGGTTGCGATGATGTCGCAACGCCGAACACTTATTGGCCGACTGAAATAAATAGTGGCTAGACCTCGAGGCATCTAGCATTGAGGTCTATACCTACTATCTTTCCAATCAATGCCAACCAGGACTCGGTGTCGTTTGGACGTCACCGCAAACCCCTGCGTGAGAAGCAGGCGACTTGCTCTCAGGATAGTCGTCGACAACTTAAGAAACACGGGCGTGACGGGTCCCGGGCATCTGATTATCGATCCGCTGCCGATGGGACTGCTTTATTTGTTAGAAAGAAGGCTGAAAAACCAATCCGAAAGTAAGAAGCCGGATTATGCTAAGCCGCGTACCCTGACTGGTGGAAGATACGCACCGACGACGAAGATGTCCGAGCCGCTCAGGACCGCGCGGTGGTGGTGCAGCGGCGTCGGTAGCGTCCCGCACTGCTGCACCGTGTTGAAGGACGGATCGAAGGCCACCACGGAGCCGGCTGGGAGAGGACGGCCGTCAAGACGAAAACTGCTCAGCGACAATTGCATATCGTTTGGTGCTCACGAAACTTGCAAACTGTCATTCGCCGACCCAGATATTCCTAACCGCATGCAGTTGTGAAAATTAAAAATGGCGCGAAGATGGACGACTCTAGATAAACACAGACAGACCGCTGTCTGTGTTTAAGAATGCCAGTCATCGACTTACTCTAAAGAGGCCGTGTAACTGTATATGAGTCTTCACAAGCGTATTGGGAGCAGTGTGATGCATACGCCGCTGACCAAGAAGCAATTCTCTGTGGTGGTGTGATTTCAAGGATGAGAGCAGACTGTTTCTTTGAGTCTCTCCATTACAAAACGCGATGACGTAGTCGTGGGAGTTACAGTGTTGGCTTATAGTCAACACTACGATCTACGAAAAAATGTCGACGAACGCGTGACCGAAGAGCAGCTGGCTTTCGTTTTCAGCAAGCATTTAATTGACTATTTCCACCAGCGTCATTTTAAGTCGTCCGCCGACAACATAAGGCTCTAACAAAACATTTCGTTCGAACAAGACATTCCGTATAACAGAACATTTCGTATAACAAAACATTTCATTCTAACGAAACATTTCGTTGTAACAAAACATTTCGTATAACAAAACATTTTGTTGTAACGAAACATTTCGTTGTAACAAAACATTTCGGTATACCAGTCGTTTCGTCATTACCAAACCTCGGCTTTTACTCCGAGGTTTCCTGAAGCTTCCAGTTCAAGTTCTTCCGAGAATCTTTGAGTGCCTTCGTCTTTTGTTCGAACGAATGTCTCTATCGTGTCTGCAACAAGTGTTTGCTGAAGGTCCGCGTGGTGGCGCTTGACCGGGAGCAATACCCCTCATCGGACAACTCACTGATTCCAGTGTCCAGGTTGAGCCCTCCCATGACCACGATGTTCGACTTTGGGATCACGGGCAGGGCGCCGTCAGGCTTTGGAATGCGCGTCGCCATGCTCGGTGGCACCACGAAGTCTGCACATACGAAAGGGGAGGGGCGTTTATTATAAGTTTTATCGGGGTTTCGTAATTTCGGTAGCTCCCCAGCGGGCGTTTACTAACGTCGGGGGGAGTGGATGCTTAAGGTTCATATCATATATATATATATAAAATATATAAGGTACTTGTCTTTAGTCTCGTAGAGACTATGCCGCTTTTTTCTAATTGTAGGGTTTCCTCGAGCGCTATCCAGTTGTAAAACAAAAAAACAAAAACGTATGAATAAGCCAACGAACGGAGTGCAATGAAACGTTTCACAAAAGTGTTTTAGATGGTGCCTTTATGATATCACGTACCGTAAATGTAAATTTCCTAAAAAGAAAAATTCCGCAAGGCTAACATTTTATTCTTTCCTCTCCACTCCGCCGCTAAGGTAGTGGGTCTGCGCTGTAGGCTAGGAACTGCGTATTAGTAATCTACGAGCCACAGAAGCTTTTCAAAGTCGTGTGCATTTAAAAACAAACAAAAACAATCAAGTGTTTATGGCGCTTTCATTGCATTTGACGGAATGTTTGAAGTCAGGCGGTGTTTCGAGTGACTTACTTCCTTGCTGCGTACGGTTGAACGGGTCTTGACCCTCGAAGGACCCGGTGGACATGGCGGTGAACATCGACTTGCTGTCGTACGTCGTGGCGCGATCATAGGCTGCGACGAGAGAAAGGCCAAGCGAGCAGCGACAACTTCACTCCGATACGTCGTACATCCAAAGTGTCTGTTTTGCAGCGATATTGCGTCGATCGCTGTTAATGGGACTCTTCTCGGGTTTCGCGAAGTACACATGGCGTACTCAGCATATTTTAGTCCGATGTTTTCTGCTGCACTGCTGTTTAATTGGCTGGGAACTATTGATTCTGCGGCACAGACGGTGTCTTCAGTGACTCGAACGGCTTACTCATGGGAAGCCTGTAGAAGGGCCACTGCAATTCCTAGACCTAAAACTATGCTTTCTGGAGGGCCACAAATGTTAGGCGCACGAGCCGAGATCAAAGAAAGGTATCCTGCCGTTCGAGTCCGCGCAATCGAAAATAGCCAAAAGGGGCATTGCCAACACGTCTCTGGAGGCGTCCTTAAAAGGATCTTGCGGACACCTGTGCAAGGCAGTTTTAATTTACAGATTCCACGCCTGCAAAAGGCAAGTTTCTCACAAAGCTGCCTTGCTGAGGTTGCGTAAGGATTGTTAAAAAAAATTCAAAGGGGGCAAGCTAAGTGGCAAGAAAAAGCCTAAAATGAGACCGGCAATTATTCCTTACTCGCATGCCATGTCCCATAATTTAAAGAAAGTTGCACTGCCTTTCAAAGTTCCTGTGGTATTCTCATCCCCCGATAGTATGTTATGTCTGTGCCGAAAAATCAATAGTCCCCAGTTAGTTAAAGAGCAGTGTAGCATAAAACATCGGGCCACATATGATGAGTGTGCCATGGGAGTGGTGTACGAGATACCGCTGAATTGCGGTTCCGTGTACGTTGGTCAGTGACCGTGCGCGCGAACATTCGGCAGCCATAAGAGCAAGCCCTTCTGGTAATCTCGCTATCTACGGGGTGATTCAAGCAGAGGCCAGGCTCTTTAAATCGACCGCAAAATTTGGTTTCTTAACCTATCCTGCTACGACTTTGTGCAGCGTTGCCCACAGATGGTGCATTTTTTTTTTTGTAAAATTTGCGAAGAGCGCATTTACCTGAGGAAAAAGTAAAGAAAGAAAAAGGCTTAGCTCCTATGGAAACGCAGCGACGCCACCGGTCTGCAAACAACGCGGTGCCGTTTTGCACGGGGAGACAAGAGATGGCGCAACGAACGCCGCCAACGAACGAGCATACGGCGCCGAGAGCCGGCGTCTTTAGCAGACGACCTTTTCGACTGAAAAGTGGCGCGCGTTCCGCAGGCGGCGACAGTGGCACAAACAAAAACAGGGGCGGTAACACCAAGGAAGTGCAGTTCCTTGTCTGCTAAAGACGCCGTCTCTCGGCGTCGTATGCTCGTTCGTTGGCGGCACTTGGCGTGGCGACCGCTTGCGCCATCTCTTGTCTCCCGTGCGAAACGGCGCCGTGTTGTTTGAAGACCGGTGGCTTCGCTGCGTTTTCATAGGAGTTAAGCCTTTTTCTTTCTTTACTTTTTCCTCAGGTAAATTCGCTCTCTGCAAATTTTACAAGAAAAAAAATTCATTATCTGTAGGCAACGCTGCACAAAGTCGTAGTGCGATAAATTAAGAAACCGAATTATGCGGTCGATTTAAAGAGCCTGGCCTCTCCTTGAATCACCCTGTAGTGTAGTCGTTTCCCATGCTCACCAGTTCTGCATGATGTTAAGATTCTAGCGAAATATAAAGGAAAAGTGTGCCGAGAAGTTCAGGAAGCGTTCCAGAATAGGACAAAAGGAAATGAGTGCGTCAGCGAGCCCTCTCTTACCGTCTCAGGGAAAGAGCTTGGATTTATCAAGAGGTTTCATGGGTTGTTGTTATAAATATTCATTCTTCAACGGCTTATCCCTGTCGAAAAAAAACAAAAAACAAAAAAAACAGTACAAACTGGAAGCTCTAACTGGGTTTTTTGCTGGAAACCCTAACTGGATTTTTTGCTGTAAACCTGAAATCCAGTTTGCAGACCATTGTCTGGCGAACTGTATTTCAGTTTTCCACAAAGAAATCCAGTTAGATTTTTCAGTTCCATAATCCAGTTTGTACTGTTTTGTTTTGGTAGGGTATTGTGTGTTTTTCTTGAATATCCTTCAGTTGAGAGTGCGCCTTATGTTGTTTACACTCTTCTTTGTCCCTGTCGTTTTTGACATTTCTATATATTTGACTACGAACCAACTTGCCCAAAATTCCACTTTGCTGCAAACTTGAGTGCGCACAAAAGTGTTCTTCAGTGACCACAAGGCGGTGTTAGTTTCTGTCCAATAACATCGCATAAGACGTCCAGGCAGCAACACAAACGAGAGGGAACGGTTCACGCATATACACGTGCAATTTCGTCGTTTCTTGGATTTCAAATTTGGGTGCGCGATTTTTGAAGTGCTCTTCAAGTACCACAAGACACGTAAATTTTTGTTCACTAAAATTGCTTAACAGGTTCAGGGAATAATGTCTATACTAATACACCCTCATTAGTTCCAAAACTCTATGGAATGTTCGTCCGCGGTGTGCTACTTGCTTTAATAAGAAACGCCTATGCGGACTATATATATTGTCACGAAGGAAGGCGACGAGAGGTTGAATAGTGAATTGAAAATGAAGGTTTAATCGGCGAACGCGTGCCGAACAAAAAAAAAAAAAAAAAGAGACGAGCGTCGAGACAACAGAAAAGCGTGCGGCGATTTGGGGGCGTAACTGCAAGCGAGAGCGAGACTGACTCGACAGGGTCGCGGGTATCTCCTTACCTAATGTGCGTCGGCATCGAGAAAATTTGTCCCAGAAGGTTCGAGCATCGAGGGTTTGGGGTGAGAATGAGCAGGCACTTTGGAGAGCAAGAAACTATGGCGAAATCATAAAAGTTACCCTGCGAGTAAGAATAAACGCGAATCGCGAATCTTCTAGAGTACCGTGACGGGGCGCTGCTCATTCGGCCCTGCGCGCGGCAATATGGAGCGCTCCCGCACGTTTACCGTTCATTCGGTCCATCTGCTTAGAAGCGACTCGCCAGCGGTTCCTACGTCACATTTCAGCCGTCGCTGTGTTTCACGCTACGGAATGTTTGATTTGTTGTTCGACGTTATCGTCTTGTGTAGGCATCTCGTGGGATGAAGGGAGATGTAATGTAAAACGCTTGGGACTCGCGACGCCCTGCGCTTCCTAATGTTGCCAGTGACTATAATCAATAGTATCCGAGTTACTGCAATTATCGTTGAATATTGCGTTAACAAAATCACTTTCTATCAGCGATGAAATGCTATTGATTTAAACTGTATCTCACCGCGCACACTTGAACGCTACTCATTACAAGTAATCGAATTGCTCGTAAACGATTATACTTTTTGGGGTAATTTGTTTATCGTTTTATTATCTTTGTTAAAAAGTAATCGCGAAAACATTTTTGATTACTTTTAGAAGTACTAAAATTATTTATGACCGTTAATATTTTTTCCCTGCGTTTTGTTGGCGCCCTTTGTTTGAACACATGTCCTCCCAAAAAGGAATCCTTGAATGAAGTTTCTGAGAGTTGAATGGTTCACCGAAATCGGTGGATTGAGTAGATAGATAGTTCATAGTTCGGTGATTATAATCCAATAAAGGGTAGTTCTTAAAAACCCGGTTTCAGACCGAAAAAAAAAACACCTTTCGTTTTGAAAATTGGAAGTAATCGGAAAAGTTAACAGTTTTTGCTTTTTCAAGTAACGGCCAATTACTTTTCTTCTCTCAACTAATATAATTGAATGCTTATTAACCAACAGTAATTGCAATTGTAATCGATTACTTTTTTCCAGTAACCTGCACAAGACTGATCTTACGATAGTTGCACTTTTCGACTGACTTGCAACCTAATTAGATTACGGCGCTTTATTTGTTTAAACATTTTGTGGAAGACACATTATATTTACGTCAATTTGGTCGTAACGCGTTAGCTGTTTGTTACCGATACCTCATACACTGTCGTGAGCACAGTGTCGACAAATGAAATCACAGTACACACATATTATCTGCAAAAAAAAAAAAAATTTGGAAAGTGTGATGGTTTGTCAGCTCACTGTCAGCACTCCCCAACGCCAGAGGAGGTATATTTAACGAATGAAATTGGAGCGCAACTTTGGTACTTTCCTGATTAACTCTAAATATAACCATGGTACATTTGTAAGAGTCTAACTAACTTAGTCGCATTTCAACTCAAGGAACGTAAGTTTTAACTTTGTTATTTTTTATGAGCTACTCTTACAACTTTATCCGAATGAACAACCAAGAACTTCGTTTTGTTTTTCCTCTTTAATGCAAAATCATAACCCATATTCCTTTTAATTCGCCATGTACTTACATCGAAAGTCGAATTCGTCGGCAGTCCATGGGAAATTTGAAGCCCCCTCTGAAAACACACAATATAGTTTACGCACACAGCGACCACTCGCGCACCAGACATTTTATTCATACAATTTTCTATAAACAAGATGAATCAAAGTAAGCTAAAGGAATAATAAAACAACATTCGGTCCGAATCTTGCGAACTGCGTACCAGATTGGAGTAGCAAGAGAACCCACAGCGTATGGAATCAAATAAGCTTGAAAGTAATCGATTAACATTACTGGATACTATTCACTGACAATTCTCTGGTTGTATTTGAAGACAGAGAGAGTGCATTTTGTTAAATGCTAAGTGCTGACCCTATATAAATCCTACGTATGTAAAAACGGCTCTCTAGACGATTAGTGCCACACTTGACATCCTTTATTTTCTTTATGTACAGTTTATAAGCCACGTGGACCGAAACTGAACGGTGATAACTTGAGTCACCTTTCAAGACCGGAGGCAGTTCAAGGCTAGGCGTAGCGCAATTTCGTCTGCTCCTTTTTGAAGGGGTTGTAATGACGTCATAACGCCGAGCGCTGATTGGCTCTGACTGAAAGGATAGTGGGTGGACCCCAAATCAAGCTGCCTTCAGGTCTATTCGCTTCGAGA